GGCGGTTGGGGTGTGTCAGTGGTCACGACTGCACCGCCGCACCACTGGAGGGTTTGGCAGACAAGCGCAGGGAGCAGCTGCCATTCCTGGAGCACGCGAGCAGCCCTTTGTACGCGACCCCATGTCGCCTACTGCCGAAATGCTGCCACCCGCACCTCAGCTGCGAGTGCGGCGACCTCCAGGTTGGGGTTCTGCTCTCCGCGACGGGTGTGCAACATGCTTGCTGGTCAGAAGGCGCCCGCAGCACTTGTGCTCGATGCCGCGCCGCTGCAATTTTGTCTCGCACAGTCGCGGTGGCGAGCGCCGACGCGATCGCAGCAAGCACAGTGCTGTGTCGCAGCACGGTACGGGTATCGGCGCTCTGAGGGTGTTCCTCCTGCTTCAGCAAGTCCAGCAGAGCCGCTGGCCCGCTGCCCAGTGGGGACAATCACCTCCGACGTCCGGTCCCGCGTCGCACAAATGCGAGCTTTCCTGTCAGGAGCCCGCACTTCAGATTTACTGTTACGCTGATCTTGTACATGTTCACGGCAAGGCCGCCTCGCGGTCCATGGACTTTATTTGGAACGGGGTGTGCGACGGTGTGGTGCAGCTGGGTGCTCGGATTGCTGACTTTGTTTCCTTGTTGGCGTCTGACATCAACGACAAGCTGCTGACTGTCAAGGTGCGCAAACGTTCGCAAGCACGATCTACACTCACCCGCCAGCACTGGGGATGTTGCCTGGTGACGCTGAGACTGCGAGCCTTGCGACTGCTTGAGGCTTGGAGCCCGAAACTTGATAAGAGGAGTAATACAAATCTTGCAGTGATCAGATGCCGTGCGCGCACTTCTGAGTTCCTTGCGGGAGCTGTTGGACCACGCAGTCAACACCTCCCTGACAAGTTGTGACCCCGCATATCTCAAGTCCGTGCATATCTGGCCAGAGCATCAGGAGGATACTAGTTACTTGCCATTCAATGTTATCCAAGCATTTTAGTCCGCAGGTGCCAGGAATTTAACAAGTGGCCGATTGAGTTGGTTGCGACTCAACTGCCCGCGCTGCTGCTTGCGCAACCCACGCTCCCGCTCAAAGTGGTGCCAACGCAGTTATGGCACTTCGAACTGCCGCTCTCTCTTAAGTCACTCTGAGCGCAGTAGTCTTGCGCCATCACAGCTAGGCGGGTGCAACTTAACTCGCCTGTGGCTGGCAGTCGCCAGCAGGCCCAGCACATCCCACTCCTCTGCAATAATCAGCATGCCTTGCGCCATGTTGTGCGCAATTTGCTGCACCCATGCCCGCTGCACATGCGCTCACATATTGTGCGGTCAGGGCTGCAAGCGCATGCCTGGAAACGCATGCCACATGCATCACGGTAAAAACCCATATGCGTGGATCAAGCCGCCATGCAAAGCGTCCCAAGAAGCAGGGAGGATATTTGCGCTTTATATAATTATAGCAGTATCACGCGTCATCCGCGCTCAACATTGACCAGGTATGGTAATAACAGGTAATGTAATAACAGGAGGGCAGATCACGTTTCTGCTCTTGACTTTTCCATCGAGGCAGATCCAGTGCGTGTATTCTGTCATTGTTCAAGAACACGTACCGCTCTATTTCAACGTCAAACCAAGCAAATGTATCATACCTTTGCTGGCAACAGATCTTTCGCTTGGGCACGCTGACGACATACTCCCGCCTTTCCTGCACACCGCTGCGTATGATCAGCCCTACGCAAGATCGTCTGTCGCAGTCCTGAAAGCGCATCCAACTTACCCCCTGCACAACCGCTCAGCCCTATGTCCGTCGTCGTCAACGCAGCGATCGCGCTGCTGTCGAAAGTCGCGCCATGGCTCGAAGACCTGGGCAACGTCCGCGACCTGATGGAAGCTATCTGCCAAACCTACCCCGTGGATCCAACCAAGCCGCCCGTTCCGCTTCACGAATTCGATGAGGGCCCTGCGGGCAGCCACACTGGCGTGCTCAAGGTGGCGCCCCTGACCATCCTGCAGCATGTGTGCGGCGGCGACGCTGCGCGCTTCGGCCTGACGTGCGAGCCCAACGGCGCCGGCAAGGCCATCAAGAAGGTTTTCGCCAACGGCACAATAGGCAGGGTCATGCAGAGGCGCATTGAGTACCCGTGCGCGACACACTTCCAAAGTCGTTCAGTGGCAAGGTGCGAGGGCATGCGTCTTGCAGGCGGGGGCACGTAAACGCTGACCAGCACCGCCGGCTCTGCCTGATGTTCTCACTTCATCAATCACATTGTAAGTCTCCATCAATCACCAGCCACCAACCTGGCATGCATCGTGAAGTTGTCAGCATGCATGCCTGCATGCGTGCATGCATGCAGGCATGCACGCATGAGCCGGTTCATCTATTGCTGCAGCCTAGCCAGCGCTGCCTCACCACCTGCACCACCCCGCTGCGAGCAGCGCGGTTCATGCCCCGTGCAGCAGCCCAGCCCAAGATCCTTCCTGATCTGGTCCATACTGCTCACCTCAGAGTTACTGCTCACTCCTCGCCCTCCCTCACCACCACGCACAGCTGCCGATGGGGGATCGAGTGGATGTCTTCTTGCACCTGCAAGTGCCCAACGACTGGACGGCGCAGCCGGAGGCCGTGCAGGCAGCGTTGCTGGCGGCCACGGCCTCTGAGAGCGAGATTCAAGCGCAGGTGATGAGGGGCATGTCATTGTCCGTCCTCTTGCCTTCCGGAGATGCGGATGTGGAGCGCGCCACTTGCGTTGCACATGTCAAGTATCACAATGTGCTCCGAGGTGCGTGCTTACGCCACCAACGCAGCCCCTCAAAGCCCCCGACAGTATCACGACGACCTTGACCGCATCCAAGCATCCCTTGTTGCTTTCCAAGCAGGCAAAGGAGACGCCTGTGAAACGCCGGGGCAGCAGCTATGGGGCTGAGAAGCAGTTTCCGACAGGGCCGGAGGGTGGGCGGCGTCCGGCAAACAAGCTTCAAATTGAGCAGCAGCAGCAGCAGCAGCAGCCGCAGCAGCAGCAGCAGCAGCAGCAGCAGCAGCAGCGGCAGCAGCAGCGGCAGCAGCAGCAGCAGCAGCAGCAGCAGCGGCAGCAGCAGCAGCAGCAGCAGCAGCAGCAGCAGCAGCAACATGAAGGAGCCATGGAGCAGTGCCTGGCACTGGGCGGCATCAAGCTCTCGCCGGCCACCAAAGGTGCGTATGTGTCTGTTAACCATTGATGCAGGCCTTTGTCCGTGCTCAAGTTCTGCCAGTGGCCAGCACGTGCCGCCAGTGCCGCCAGTCAATGCGACCTGGGGTGCGATCTCTGATGGCCATTCCTGATGCGCATGCCTGCCCACACCCCCCGACATTGGCTGCATGTTTGAATGCACACCACACAGGGGCTATGATCATGTGTCCCGGGCGCGGCAGGTTTGGCGGCATCCTTACCCGCGCGCACTATGACGACGTCGACGCGCTGATCGCCGCCGCGGGTGCTGCGGCTGCGGTCAAGGACGGCGGCCAGAGCCGCGTGTATTTCCCGCCAGGGTTGGTGCATGGCGGGAGCGTGGTGGTCAAGGTTCGTCACAGTCTCCGTGACACGCTCCTACCGGCGCCCCTGCGCAGTGTCAGGCCGCGCGGCACCGGGAACGGGGTGCCCATGGCGCGCAGGCAGCTGCTTGATCATGCCGTTGAGGAAGCAGCGCAGGATGTCTGGCTGCTGCTGAACATGCCAGTGCATCCGATGTTTGAGCAGCTGCTGGCTGTGTGCCCCGAGCGCGGCGCCTTCATCTACCGCCGCGACCCCGGCGTCACTCTGGCCGAGCTGCTAAGCGCCTCGCAGCAGCCGCCGCTGCTGGAGGCGGGCGCGGGCGAGCCGGAGCGGGCGGCGTGGGCGGCGGAAGCTGTGAGGGCCGCCAAGGTGGTGCCATGGCGCGCGCGGCTGCATATTGCAGGGATGCTAGCGAAGGCGGTTGAGATGCTGCACAGCCGTGGCATCGTGCACCTCGACCTTGCACCTGGTGAGCATCAGCCCAGTGGTCCAGGCAGTGCCACCGGCCTTCGCAACTGCACGCACACACCTCCATGTGGCTTTGCTTGCATGCACATGCGCGCGCGCATAGACAGGCATGTATATGTAGGCATGAACCATCTTTCCCCCACGCACGCACGCACGCACGCACGCACGCACGCACGCACGCATGCGCGCGCGTGCGCGCACACACACACACACACACACACACACACACACACAAGCACGCATGCTAACTGCCTCTTCTCCAGAGAACATCATGGTAGACCTGGCTGCTGGCGGCGCTGTCCACGGCATCACAATCATCAACTTTGGGGCCTCGCGCGACGCGGCGGGCGTGCCGCAGTGCGTGCCGGACCCCAACATCTCCTGCACAAAGCGCATATTTGGCAAACGTGGCTACGTGTGCCCAGGTGGGCTGCTGATGCAGCGCGTTCACGTGCTTCATGCAATGTTGGTCCTCCTGCAACGTGCTGATGCATCATTGCAAGGCGTCCGGGGAAGCTGGCTGCTCCTTGTCACCCCCTGCTGGCCCACTCCTCTTGGCTGACCTTGATGGTGCATTTGCTTGCCGCTCTGCTGTTGCCTGCAGAGTTTCAGGAGGACGGCTGGCTTTCTCCCTCTATTGACGTCCATGCATTTGGAGTGGTCTTGCTGCAGCTGCTCACCAACAAGCCCGCCATGATGACGCACGCCGCGGCCGCGGCCATGGTGGCCGAGGTTGCGGCCGCGGAGGCAGCTGCCGCGGCGGTGCCGGGGGCCTCAGGCAGCGGGCAGCCGTTTGGCGCGGCGCAGGGGGACGACGGCGGTGACAGGGAGCCGCGGGAAAGGTCATTCCTAAAGGGCGCCTTCATGTCGGTGAACGTGGGATCTGAGGGGGCGGGCGGCGACTCTGATGGGGACTGTGGGAGCGGCAGCAAAAGCACAGCCATGCTGGGGTCTGCGGAGCCTTCTGATGACTCTGATGACTCTGATGACTCTGATGAGTCTGCCTACTGGGAGGGCGTGGGGACTGCGGGCGTTGCAGGAGGCAGCGGCAGCGGCCCCTCAAGGCCGCTGGCAAGGGTGTGGGCGGAGGCATACACAGGGGCGAATGCAGCTGCACTGGCTGACTCGCTTTGGAGCCCTGGCAGCAAGGTGGAGGCAAGCGCACAGAGGCAGGCGGCGCTTGGGGCGTGCACGGCGTTGTCCGCCCAGGCCGTCAAGTGTGTGGGCAAGCGGGCGCAGAGGGTGGCGATGTCGCTGGTGCGGAAGGACCTGCTTCGAGCTGCCCGGATGGCTAACTCGGCCTGAGCGCGGATACAAAAGCAGGAATACATGCACTTTTTCAAGCCGCTCTCAGGTCTCTAACTGCAATCGCAGCGCGTCGCGCCGTCTAATTCTTCTCTGTGGGAAAATCACACCACCATACCTTGCTGCGGTCCCTCTCTGACGCGGTCCTCAATGTAAGCATTGCCTCTGAGCATTGGACTGTAACTGCTGGAGCCTTAAGGGCCATGGGCGAAGCCCTGGGACCACATGAGTGGGATTTAAGGCTGCGACCACCAGTCCCCACAGCCACCTGCCGGGCAGCTACCCCACCTCCAGTGGTAGTAGGTCCTAGGACAGCATTTGGCCTTGGGCGTGCAGCTTGTGCTGCTGCAATATGTAATCGCGGCGACACCAGCACCTCTCTTACGAATTTGATTTGTCATGTTGGGTTGTGGCACAGGTATTTTATGCACGCGCAATAGGAAAATCGATAACGTCGACAGCACCCCGCCACGGATCACATTGTGGCGTGCTTTCTAAACATATCAGCCATGGAAAGTGGTTATGATACTGGATACACCCTTCACGTTATGCGCCTGGCATCCAGCGCGACCGCGCAGCGCGATGATCAGATCACTCCCGAGGCTGTGCGCGCAATGGCGGACGGCCCCTCGACGGCCGTGCTGGCGGCAGCACGTTACCTGGGCGGGCTGGACGCTCTGTTGCGCAAGTGGGAGCGGGAAGACAATCCGTTTGGAGTGCCCGATGAGGCCAACGATGCAGGTGCGCAAGCGGCGCCGGTGGTGCTGCAGCGGTGTGCGTGTGTGGGTGCGCGCATCCTTGTACGGCCTGACCACGCGCAACTGTTCCCAGTCTCGAATCTGACCTTTTTGCATGCGTGTATAAATAAATTTTTGTGCATCACTGCCGGGACTGACCGCCCCTTCTTGTATCCCCGCTGAACCCCAACCGCAGCCGACAACGCCCGCCGGCTGGCGACCGCCTTCCTCGACGCCGCCGCCTGCGCCGCCGCCCCGGGCGCCCCCCCTCCGCCCCCCGCCGCGCTGGCCGCGCTGCGCGCGGTCGTGCGGCGCAGCGAGCCCCTCGCCGTCCTGCCGGGCGGCGCGCCCGCGCCGCGGGCGGACGCGCTGCTCGACTTGAGGCAGATGCTGGACGGCAGGGACCCCGCCAAAGCAGACGCCTGCGAGGATTGGGGCGACCTGCCGGACAGCCCGCCACAGGCGCCGCCGCCCAGGCACACGTTGCTTGAAGAGCTCAGCAACCACTGCTGCTACGCCGCCAGCTGCGCGGACAACCTGGGGGCGGTCGCCGAGGCGGTGGCGCCGTTTGGGGGCGCGCGGGATCTGGAGAGGGCCTGGCGGGCGAGGCAGGGGCTGCAGCGGGCGAGGGCGGCGTACGAGCGCGCGGCGGGCGCCATGCGGGCGACGGCGCGCGTGGAGGCGGGCCAATGATGACACGGCCGATGAGGACGTATTATGGACTAAATGGACGGTTTTTTGCAAGCCTTGCACCGATGATGTGCCTTGTCGTCAGCCAGCGGCACGCCATTTTCAGGTGAAGGCGGAGCGCTCGGCGCCGCCGCCCGGCCTCTGGGCGGCGGGCGGGCGGCTGAACGCGGCACGGCTGCCAACAAGCAATTCTACCAGCCAGATCAACCCTTCGATACACGCGTGCGTGTGGCAACCCCACCAACATCAGCATTATGATTGCTCGTGTTCCCCTCTACATATTACGCGCACACAGCTCCACAGGCAGCCCACACTCTTGTCTGGCGCAGGTCCCTTTGTTAGGATCATGAAATGTATGTGCCCGTGATGGGGGGCCAGCGCGGCGGCTTTGCATGGCCCATCCCCGCAAGCCGGCCTTCCCTGCCCTTGGTTTGAATGGGTTTGACAAGCAGCCAGGGGTCGCTCTTTCCAAGAAATTGTATGTCAGCATGCTGGCAGGCTTTGATAGAAACTGTGATATCGTGCTCCCAATCGGCTTTGTAACGGCTCGCGTGATGCGCAAATCAACCCGACTGCCTTGGCGGTGGCTAGCCAGTTGTGGTTACGGCTGGGCCGCATTGCTGCTCGCTGGCTCCCTCACATGCCTGGATGCTACTCTGAGCTGGCAATTTATGCTGCAGCACCCGAGCACACGCTGCAGTGCTATGCCTGGCGGCTCGCGCTTTTACTGCCTGTGGTGCTTGCCACGCAGCTGCCGCCATGCAGGTGCTACGCAGCAGACATTGGTTGCTATTGGGGTAAGCACACCTCATTCCAGGGCAGTCAACGGTTTCACTTTGAGCTCAAGAGTGGTTACAATCAGTAGCCAAACTTTTCATTCAAAGCCGTGCGGCCATCACCCCTCTGGTCAGACGGCGGCACCCAGACCTCTTCCGCCCCCGCACCGCCCTCGCCCCCCTCGCTGCCGCCGCCGCCGCCGGACCGTGGATGCCGCCCGCCCGCGCCCGCGCCCGCGCCGCCCTCGTCCTCCCCCGACCGGCGCCCAGCTGCGCCCGTGAGCAGCGCGACGCTCGCCGCCACTCGCGCCGCCGCTGCTGAATGGACGTCCGCCGCGCCCGCGTCTGCAGCCCCCGCCGCATCAAACTTGGGCGGGGGCATCATCGCGGGGCCCCTGACCTTGCGCGCGGCAGCCGGCGCCGCAGGCCGCGGCGCGTCCGCCCGCTTCATCTCTTCGACGATCTGCTTCGCACGCTCCGCTGCCGCGGCGCGGCGCGCCGCCTGTTCGCCGGACGCCGGCTGCTGCTGCTGCTGCTGCTGCTGCTGCTGCTGCTGCTGCTGCTGTGGTTGGTGATGAGCGCTGGCGGGAATCTGGAGCGAGTTGAGGGCCGCCGCTGCCGCCGCGCCGGCCAGCACGGCGGCGTTGCCCTTGATTACGACGGGCCGGCGCGCTGCTGCGCTGGGCGGCTGCTGGAGGCTCTGCTGCTGTCCCTGCTGCGGCTGCTCCTGCGGCTGCTGCTGCTGTTGCTCTTCCTGGCCCACCTCCTCCTCTTCTGGCTGCGAAGTGTCCGCCTGCGCCATTTTCGAAATGGGGCGACCAGACGCAAGATATGCATTTGCAAATAGGTCGGCAGGATGTGCCGAATGACTTGATATGCACATGCCAGATACCAATGTGGCCAAACACTGATCCCTGCGCGCCCCAGGAAGGACTGAGCCCATCCTGTACCCTCCCCACCAACATGCTACAGGGAGAAGAATTTGCATGCCCCGATGCACAGGTAGAAACAATGAACGATTTGAAGCTCCACACCCGGTGACAATCAGCAGGCACACCCTAAGGAAATCGCCGGTCGCCCCACTTGCTCGCACGCACGCCCCCGCCTCACCTGCGCCGCCGCCGCCGCCGCCGCCCGCTTTCTCTCTGCCGCCGCTGCTCGCCGTTGCCGGTCGGCCTCGATCGCTGCGCGCGCCGCCGCACGCGCGCCGCTGCCGTCCGCCCCGTCCGCGTCCGTTCCAGCTGCGCCGCCGCCGCCGCCGCCGCCGTCAGCAGCGGTCGCCCCGCCTGCATCCTGCTGCTGCTGCCGCTGCGCTGACCTGTGGACGTACCAGCCTTGAGGGTCTGCGATCTTGAGCAGCTTCTCCACCCGCGCCAGCTGCCCCTCCACTGCCCCCAGCTCCCGCTGCAACGACCCCAGCTGCGGTGCAGCGGTGGGTTGGGTTGGCTTGAGTGAGTGCGTGCATGTGTGTCGGTTCGTGCGTGTGGGTGCATGTGTGCGTGTATGCGCGGGGTGGGTTGGGGGTGAGGGTAGGGTGAGGTGGCGGCGGGGCAGGGGGTTGCTGGCGGTCGGGGCCGTTGGGGTTGCGGATGATGGATCCATGGAGGAGGTGAGGGGAGAGCGTTTGCGCACTCTGTGGGCACTCTGCTGTGCGTGCACACGCGGAGAGCATGTGGGTGCATCTCTGCACGGCCCCTCGCTCGCCGGTTGGGAGGTGCTCACTTGCGCTCCTCAGGTACACACCCTACACCCGCTCTCCCTCCCCCCCAAAAACGCACAGTTCTGCACGCAAGCAGGAGGAGATGCACTCACTTCAGCCCCTGAAAGCCCACCTTGTCCTTCTCCATCTGCGTCTCCACCCCGCTCATGAA